CAAGAAGCACTTTTTCCATCAGAAGTTTGCCTATTACTGTAATGCATCTACTTCATTTCAACTCATGAAACAATAAAGAAAATGACCAAAAATGGCCCAATGCCTAATGAGTTTTACCAATTTTTACACAACTCCGCCCACTTAGCAATAAGATACCCTCTGGCTTTTGTAGAAGAGGTGCTCAGCTTTTATTTAAGATGCTCATCCAAGTCGTTGCTCTTTGATAAGTTTAATCATATTGATCTTGAAAATGCAGCCATTTCACTCAGCTTTCATATGGGAATATGAGCTGATGAGTATTCAGATTAATTTTTTTTCTCCACAAAAGTACTTTTAGACTAAGGTACCCTCTGGTAAGAGGGTACCTTAGTCTAAAAGTACTTTTGTATTTTTAAAGAGCGGCTTACAGAGAAACCAACAGGCACGTCAAAAGAAAGATCAGAACAGATAAGAGAGCGTATATGGAAGATCTAGCAAAAGAAGCAGAGGAAGCGGCACAAAAGGGAGAGCAGAGAAATGTCTATAAAGTCACTAAACTGATCTGTGGAAAATATAATGGCAATAGAAATGTCCCCATACGAGATAAACAAGGACAGCTCCTCACCTCTGAAAAAGACCAAGAAGCACGTTGGGTAGAGCATTTCAATGAAGTCCTCAACAGACCACCACCAGAAGAGGAGCCTGATATACCAGAAGCTGAGGAGGACTTAAGTGTTGACACTGGACCACCAAAGAAAGAAGAGATCATTGCAGCCATTAATTCTCTAAAAAACCACAAGGCACCTGGAAAAGACCGCCTCAATGCTGAACTGTTCAAGGCAGACACTGTGACTATGGCAAGCATATTGCAGCCACTTTTCAACACCATATGGGACAGAAGGAAAATTCCTGACGATTGGAATAAGGGTGTCATCATCAAGATAACAAAGAAAGGAGCTCTGTCTGACTGCAACAACTGGTGCAGCATTTCACTATTATCCACCCCTAGCAAGATCTTAGCAAAGGTCATCATGAAGCGCTTATCACTGGCTGTGGACCATAGACTTCATGAAGAACAGGCAGGTTTCAGGAGAGGAAGGGGCTGTATTGATCATATTTTCACACTGAGAAATATTATTGAACAGAGTACCGAATGGCAGTGAACTCTCTATATCAACTTTGTAGATTTCGCCAAGGCCTTTGACAGTGTGCACCGGCACAGCCTCTGGAAGTTATTACGAGCATATGGAATCCCCTTCCACCTTGTTGAGATCATCAAAAGCTTCTATGACAACTTTACCTGCTGTGTTGGTGATGGTGACATCTTATTTGAAGTTCACACTGGTGTCAGGCAGGGGTGTGTAATGTCTACATTTCTTTTCAACCTTGTTGTGGACTGGATCATGCATCGCACCACTGAAGATCAGGTCAGGGAAATCAGATGGACACCTTTCTCCTACCTGGAAGACCTGGACTACGCAGACGATCCAGCCTTACTATCACACACCCACACCCACATACAAGAGAAGACGCATCGCCTCAACACCTTTGCAAAGCAAGTTGGCCTGAACATCAGCAGCAAGAAGACTGAAATTATGGCACTGAATGCTACCAACACACGACCAGTCCAGATTGATAACGAAGAGCTTCCTTACACAGACAGATTTACCTTTATGCAGTATCATCAGTAGAGATGGAGGAACTGACCTGGACATCCAGAGCCATCTCAACAAGGCCAGAAATTCGCTCAATATGATGAATAAGGTATGGCGTTCTTCCACCTATAGTACTTGTACCAAGCTGAAGCTCTATCATAGCTGCGTCCTTACAACCCTCCTGTATGGCTCAGAATGTTGGCGCTTAACGGAGAAGGATCTATCAAAACTCACCACTTTTCACACCAAAAGCCTTCAGCGTATTTTACGCATCTTCTGGCCTAATGTCATTTCCAACAAAGATCTTTTTGAACGGTGTGGAACCAAATCAATGGCTACCATCCTGATGAGGAGACGCTGGAGGTGGATTGGCCATGTCAACTGCCAAGAAGCTTCCATTGCAAAAACTGCTATGCATCGGATGCCAGAAGGGAAACGCAAGCAGGGTCGCCCCAAGATCACATGGCGACGGACAGTTGAGAAGGAAATAAAGGAGATGGGGAAGACCTGGGAGGGCATCAAATTCATGGCAAGGGATCGCCAGATGTGGAGGGAACACGTTGCTGCCCTACATGCCTGTTAGGCATAAAGGGCATGAAGAAAGAAGACCCTCTGGTAAAGTAAGTTTGATATCTCAACTAAGATTTGGCGAGTTTTGCATTAATACAATGGCCACAAGTGTCATAAAAAGGGGTGTACATTGCAATTGATAAAGGTCAACTAAGCTAAGCAATGTCTTTGCATTTAATGTGTCACTATGCCTGATGTAAATCAAGTAGGTGACACATTACACTTGCACAGAAAACAGAATAATTTAGTGAAAGTAAGCAGTTGCTGCAATCAACAAAATAATCATTACAGCAACTGCATCTTTTGGCCTTAATACCAGTTTGCTGCACTAAAACCATCATAAGTTACTTTAAGGTTACAAACAAAAATCATAACTGCACTTAGCCACAATCCATCATTCTTGGGTATATTTTAAAACTATCTAAAGTCTTATTTCAACTATATAACTTAACGTAAGTAAAACAATTATTGGTTATTTCCCTGTCATTCAATTGTTCAACCCCTAACCTTCCCCTCCCCTAATTTCTTGTTTCATCCAGTTCTTAAGAATGAAGCTACTGATAATAAGTATCCTCTGTAAGCATTATAGTTAAAATTATCTTTCTTCTTACAGATACTTTCGGCTGTTTCACCATGTCATCAGGGAAAAAAAAGCCAGAAAGCACCAAAACTGCACCTCCAGTTGATGTCCAGTCTAAAACTGGCTTCAGAATTGGTACTGTTACTAGTACTAGGACTACCTCTGACACTAGCACTTTTACAGTCCTTCGCACAAGCTCTGCCACTACCACTGTTAAAGCTACAGTCACCAGCTCTGCCATTAACACTTTTTCAGTTCCTCACACAAGCTCTGCTCAAGCTCTGCCACTGGTACTCTTAAAGCTACTGGCACTACTTTTGGCATTAGTACTGTTACAGTTGCTGCCACAACCTCCAGCATTCATACTATTACAGGTACTGACACTACCTCTAGCATTAGTATTGTTACAGTTGCTGCTACAACCTCTGGCATTGGTGCTGTTAGAGCCACTAACACTGGTAACATTACAGATTCTAGCGCTAGTTTGGGACCTGCTCTTGTTGGATATGTTTATAATGTTTCACCAGTTAAGCATAACAAAAGGAACACATTAAACTATTCCACATTTACATTACAAGTGGGAGAAAATTCAATGCATGATGCATTATGTTACAACAAAGCGAGCCATTCTTGCTGAAAAAGAAGCCTCTCGAACCCCAATTAAAATTGCTCTCTTGACAAGAACTGCAGATCACACAAAACTTGAAACAAACAGCTTGGAATGTCCATTTCAGTTCTGTCAAAACCTGGACAACCAAACTACCACAACCTTGGAAAAGCTTGATGAAGCACCAGAAGACAAACTGACAATCTTTTGCAAAGTCCTCAAACTTAGTGAAACAAAAGTTGTTGGGCAAGCTTAATACAATGTCGCCAACGCAACAATAGCTGATAACAAAGGGCAAATTACCTTAGATGTGTGGAATAACCTCATTCCACAGATTCAAGAAAATAAAGTGTACAAATTCAGAAACCTAAGTGTGCGCTTTTGGAATGGGGTACGAAAGCTGACAACCACAACTAACAGTATCGTCTTGGACATCTTCATTGACGTCTCCAACGGAAATTTACATATTCGCCAGATTCAAGTTTCACTACAATACTCTGGGGACCAGCTTAAAAGGTTTCGAAGACACTTGATCATTGATACGACGCTTATAGCTGTCCTAAAGGATAACGATATTTTCAGATATCGTGGAAAGAGATCGGGAAAGCGAGTGGAAGAACGCCAAGACTTAAGATCTCAAAGACTGTGGGAAAATTTGAATTGTTTGAACGGGACTCATTTGCATTCTTATGTCAACAATGCTCGTGCGTTTTCGTCTCGGCCCTGCGTTCAACCTAAAGCATCTATTCTGTCCCTTCTTATCTCTAACACACGTTCTTTGACTTGTAAAGTCGATGAACTTGAGTGTGACACTCGCCAAAACAACGCTGACGTCATCTGTGTAACAGAGTCTTGGCTTACTAGACAATTGCTATGAGTGATTTCATAGTCTTTCCGAAAGATCGATCAGTGTCTCATGGTGGCAGTCTTGCTGTCTACGTGAATAGTACCATAGGCTGTAAGTCGCTTTCTCAGTTTGCGAACCCTGGAAATGTTTCGGAATGCCTATGGTTACAGCTCAGACCCCGCCGGCTCCCCAGGTCAGTTTTGTTAGTGCTACTGGCTGACATATACCATCCCCCTTATGCAACCGCCTAGGACAATAACGACCTTTATAATCATGTCCAAGCAACAGTCGACTTGTACTCATTGCAGCATCCTGAGTGTCTGATTTGCGTAGTTGGTGACTTCAATCCCAGCTCAATTAATATCTCGCTGGCCCCATTTAAGCATATGCGCGGTCTCACTCAAATCATCAAGGTATTTACAAGAGACACTGGGATCCTAGATTGGTGCCTGACCAACTCCCCTAAGGTGTTCTCCTTGCCGAAGCAGTTACCAAAAATCAGGGCCAGTGACCATTATTCTGTTCTAGTCGCTCCCGTCATACCATCTTCTCGTCCATCAAAGTTAACTATGTTGCGTCGTGACACTAGACCTAATCGTATTAGGGATTTTGGTGGTTGAACTACGTCATTTGTTTGGGACAATCTTTACACATTGGACTCGTGAGGAGAAGTTTAAGTATTTCTACCAAAATCTCCACAAGGCGGTCAAACACTTCCTACCGGTTCGACTCCACCGTGTTCATAGCTCAGATAAGCCATGGATGACTGGTCAAATTAAGGCGTTAATATCTAAGAGGCAGAGATGTTTGGCCAAGCACGGAAAAGACTCTCCTCTGTTCAAGTTGTTACATAACAAGGTCCAAAGATCGGTCAAGTACGCCAAGAGGGTTTTTTATGATGGAAAAGTTAAGCACCTGAGAGAGTCTAATGCTGGTAAGTGGTGGAAAGACGTTAAGTACCTTGCTGGGTCATCTGGAAGTAATGGGTCATGGTTTTACCAATTGTTAGATTGTTCAACCACTGGGTCTCTGTGCGGAAAGATCAACAAGTTTTTCGCTGAGCTCACATCTGGTTTTGTGCCACTCACGCCTGCTGATGTCATAGATATCGATGTTGATCATAGAAACATTCCAAGTGAGCTCTTTGTAACTCCTAGGGAAGCTGGTATTGCACTTCGTGGGGTTAAGATCAGGAAATCCCCGGGTCCCGACAGTATACCGAACATTATACTTAAGTGGTTTGACTTCAAGCTTGCTCTGAAAAACTCTAAGGTATCAAACTTAAAATAAACTTTCTTGACTTTTTTTTCAAAGCCTCACTTTCTTTCAATAAATTAATTTTAGTAGTTGATTTTATATTTACATATCCATTCTTCATATTTGAAATAAAATGATGAAGGATCACTTCAAAACTCCTTCCTCAGTATGTATGTATGCACTGCGTGCCTATTTTTCATATAAGAAACGTTTTTGCCAAGCATGTTGATGTATTATTTGACATTCTCTTGAAGTCTGTCATCAAAGATGGGACCTCCAATGAAAGAACGTAATTGCAAGAGAAAAGAACAGTAGTGCTACTTCACATCATCACCTATTTTCAGTGAAAGTTTCCTTTCTTAGACCCTTTAAGCTTGTAGATTGTATTGTCCCCTTTTGGACTACTAGATGTTACTCTGGTTCCTGCTTTCAAATTCTCAATAATTTGCATTTGTTTAAAAATTGATAAAAGTAAAAATAAGTTTCAAAAAAATATTTAGGTGATAGGTAGGGTTAGTAATACAAATTTTACACTTGAATTGTTTAGAATATTAGTCTAAAAGAGTTGTCTGAATCGTAGCCTCACCTGTCAAAACTCAGATTTATTTTGTCAAAGATTTTGTTACTTTGGACTTCTTGGATCCTGTCTATTGTGGCAATTCTGATGGCCCCAGGTTTTGGACTAATGAACCATTATTTCCGTGAAAATGGAATGCAATTACCAATGGTTCTTCTCATATTCTTTCCTCTGATACTACCAAAACAAGATTAGCATCTTTTGTTTCGACCAAGGTCAAATTTGGGCGCCATAAATGCCCTTGTAGCTATTATTCTAATTCAGTGGCTACTTTTCATTTGCCATTGAACCCAGGACCTGTGAACAATGCTCCACAAAATCCAGGGGAAACAGACGATAAGCAGTCAAAAGAATCACTGGCAAAAGATCAAACAACTTCGTTCTACATATAAACTCCAGAAGTTTACTTAGCCAAATTGACAAACTCAGAGTGATTCTCCAGCTTTGTAGCAATCACAGAAACTTGGCTCCACTCCACTATACAAACATTGAAGTAGATACTGTAGGATACAATGTAGAGAGACTCAACTGCAATGGCCATGGCAGTGGAATTACAGTAACTGACAGAATCAAATATAAACAAAGAGCAGAGTTGGAAAGCCACGATTTTTAAAATCTTTGGATTGATGTAAAGATAGGTCAAATCTATCGCACCCTCTGATGCATCTATAGACCCCAAAACAATCTTGGTGTTTTTGACCATCTTCGTGACTTAATCAGAGAAATAAGAGGACCAGGAAAGCAAGAAGTGATCTTACTAAGCGATTTCAATTGTGATTATCTCAACACCAGCTAAGACACAAAGGCTTAATGAATTCCTCGATAGAAATCACCTGAAACAATTAACATTAACTTCCACAAGGATCACTCAAACAAGCAGCTTGTTAATTAATCTGATCATAACAACTGCACCAAACCTATTCAATAAATCCGGCACCCTATCCTACTCTTTCAGTGATCATTTCCCATATGGTTTAATGAAAGGAAAAACGAACACAAACATAAACTAATTACAACCAGGAAATGTGTTTTGTTTCTTTCAAGTTTATATTTTGTTTGGAGGACAAATATATCTTTACTCAATACTTTAAAGGAATATGGGTGCACATCCAGAAAAAATCTAAGGTTACCAAGACATTTGATAAACTACAAATAGATGGCAAACTTTAAATTAGTTTCCTTAAACGTAAGTGGTAATAATTTCCACTAACATAGATCTATGTTCACATGGTGTCATATCTTGTATTCTTCTAGAGATGTATTCAGGGGAGGAATCAGAAAAACAGCGGATAAATGAGTGGGGTGGGAAATTAACTATTCACATGGAAGCCCAAATTCTTGTAGAGTTATAGTGTTGATTAGGAATAGATTAAATTGCACAATTCATAGATCCCTCGGAGAAATTTCATTGTTCCAAAAGTAGAAATTAATGACAAGGTTTGTATCTTAGTGAACATTTAAGCACCAAACAAAGACAAAATGGTGTGCAAATTTTTCAAAAATTTACATAAAATGTTGCAAACAGAAAATTTAGACTATTAGAAAATATTTTTTGAGGAGATTTTACATTGCCCTAAATCCAAAGCTTGATAAAAAGGGTGGTGTAATGGTACCAAGGAAAATGGTAATAGATAATATTGAATGTTTACAAAACAAATTAGTTTTAGTATATATCTGGAGAATAAAAAATACCCAGACTTAAAGTTACACTTGTAGCCAAAGATTGTCACAAATATTCTGTTGTTTGGACCACTGGCTAGTTTCCAACAACCTAAAGGATTTTGTTTTTTAAATGGATATTACTCCCGTAATAAAAATAGATCATGCAGCAATTGGGCTTTCTTTATACAACTCGTATGAAAGCGCTAAAGGTCCTGGCTTCTGGAAGATGAATGTATCAAATTCAATCTCACTTGGAGGAACTAAAAAAGCTCCAACCAATCCAGGACAATAATGCCAAAGAATTGGAAACCTTCGCTGATGTCTTGGAACGAGCTGTCATCACCTTAAAAGAAAACAACTGAAATTCACACCTTGAACCAGGAGCGCTCCACACAACAATCCTTGAAAAGATTCTGGAGCATCTACTTTCACAATACTACCGATGGATAGACGAGAACAAATACCGAGATTCGCTAGAGGCATTGAAAGACTGGATTTCGGAAGAAGCAGCTTATCAAATGCAAGCAACAGAAATTAAGAACGGAATCTCTATTGAAGATCGCAATGAGCTGCCGCGAGATGGAAAACATAATTTCCATAGAAGATCACGAAGCTACTTTGGAGATAAGAGTGGGAAAGGAAAGTGTTTTTTATGCACTGGAAACCACCCTCTTAAAAAATGTGTCCGTCGATGGAAGATGGCAGACAGTGAAACGGTTTGGCCTTTGTTTTAGATGTTTCGCAGATAACCATCATGGGAAGTCCTGTCCATTAAGCAAGCAATGCGGCATAAACGGATGCAAAGGAACACATCAGAATCTCCTTCACTATGACAAAGCACCAACCGCTCAACCTCCTCTGCGACCAGAAGCAGAATCATACGTTCAACCTTTGACCACGCCCCTTTACTCACCGATCAACTCAAATGACAGACCGAGACTCTGCCCCCTAGGATGGACTGGCTTCAAATCGATAGGGAGCGCATACTTTCACTTTAGCTGAGAAGGACACCACGGAGCTAAACTGCTTGCTGAAACGTTTCTGGGACCTGGAGAGCATTGGAATTACAACGACCAGACAGCAGCACCTGACACTGGAAGACAAGTTGGCATGGGATAAAGTCAACAATTCTCTGAAGTTTGATGGCCAACATTACGAAGTAGCGGTTCTGTGGAGAGATGAAAGACCACAGTTACCGAATAACCTTCCGATGGCAAAGAAAAGATTGGTTTCCACTGAGAGAAAGCTAATGAAGGATAAAGAAATAGCCGTGGCTTATCAGCAGGTGCTTAACGACTATTTGAACAAGAAGGACATCTGCCACATTCCTGATGAAGAACCAACGCCCGAATGCCAGTGGCTGCTCCCACATTTTCCAGTCGTACGACCCGAGAAAGCAACCTCCAAAGTACCGATAGTGTTCGATGGGTCAGCGCCTTTTGAGGGAAAGAGCCTAAATACAGAAGCCCTAACCACACTGAAGCTTCAAAGTGACATCTTCGATATCCTTGTGAAGTTTAGAAAAGAATGGGTGGCCCTCATCGTGGACATCAGTCAGATGTACCATCAGCTTGTAATATTCCCGGAAGACCGACTGATGCATCGTTTTCTCTGGCAAAACATGCAGATCAACAAAGAGCCTGAAGTTTATGAGTTTCTTCACTTCGTGTTTGGCAGCTGCTACTGCTCGTTCTGCACCCAATTTACTTGGCAGAAGCACGCAGAAATCCACCAAGATACTTACCCTCTGGTAGCGGTTGCGGTGAAAAATCACTGTTATATGGATGACCTTGTGCCATCACTGGATTCCATAGAGAGGGCCATAGAAACAAGACGCCAGTTGACCGAGATGGGTGATAAAGCTGGGTTCCACGTGAGAAAGTGGGTTTCGAATCTCACAGAGGTATTAGCAGATGTTCCCGAAGAAGACCGTGCTTCGGAAGTCAACTTGGAGAAGAATGAACGGCCTGTTACGAAAACGCTAGGTGTCCTGGACTGCACGAGAGGACCAGTTCCTGTTTCATTATTCGCCACCTACAGAGGACTTTGAATACACGAAGTAGAATGTCCTGAGGAAAACAGCAACGTTGTTCAATCCGCTTGGATTTCTCTCCCCTTTCGTGGTTAGGGCAAAAATGTTTCTGCAACAGGCGTGGCTAGACGCATTAGCATGGGATGAAGTCCTTCCGTCTGAGCAAAAAGAGGAATGAAGGAGCTGGTTCGCTGAGTTACCCCTCCTTGAGAAGATCAAGATTCCCCGGTGTTTGAAAGACACAAGTACAAAGGAAGCCTCGATCACCCTGCATACATTTTCTGATGCATCTGAAAGAGCTTACACCGCAGCTGTCTACAGTCGACACGAGTACCAGGATGGAAGCATAACCACCCAACTCATCACATCGAAGACCCGTTAAGCTCTGTTAAAGACGCTGAGCATTCCAAGGCTTGAACTTCTGGGCCCTCCCATTGGTTTACGATTGGCAAATCAAGCCTGTTCTGTGCACGCAATTCCTTCTAACTCCGTCACATACTGGGTGGACAGTCTAAATGTCGACTATTAGATTCAGGGGAAGAGCCGCGAATACAAACCCTTCATTGCGCACTGTGTTGGTGAGATCCACAAAGATTCTAACCCCGACCAATGGCGTTACGTACCGACCAGTTTGAATCCAGCAGATCTTGGCACTAGAGGAATGACTGCGCTAGAGCTCACCGAGAGTACGAAGTGGTGGAATGGACCTGATTTTCTACGCTGTCCTGAAGCTGAATGGCCAGACTGCAAGTTTGATAAACCATCACGTGAAGCACTGACTGAGCTCAAATCAACGTCCAGACAGAATACCAAGAGTTCAGCAAGCTACAACATCATTCAGCTATCCGCCAATGAAGGCGATGCAGAGACAGACAAGTTCGAAGAAGCAGAGTGGCGTTTAGACCCCTCAAGATACTCAAAGTGGTATAAAGTCAAACCAAAAGGAGAGTTAGAGGTCGGATTATCACTGGTGCGTGTGAGGAGCTGAGTACAACGATTCATTTGCAACTGCCGTAAGCCAGCCAATCAGAGAGAATTTGGAGAGCTAACTCCAGCGGAGCTGTCAAGTGCCGAAACAGATATGATCAGAGAAGCTCAAAATGAAGCATTCGGTGATGAAATCACGGCATTGAGTAGGAGTCAGCCCCTTCCGCAAAAATCCACCTTGCTCCCCTGCACTCCAATTCTTATCAACAAGATCCTATGTTCAAATACCAGGCTGCGACACGCCGATGACCTCCCAGCTGATGTAAAATTTTTCCATTATTTTGCCAAAGAAGCATCATGTCACGTGATTAATCGTTCAATATTACCATGAGAGCGAAGGCCATCGGATGGGTGTGAACTACACCATAAACCATCTGCAAGAAAAGTATCTCGTTATCCATGTCCGTGAAGAGGTCAAACGAGTGAACAGAGAATGTCGTGAATGTGCGAGACGTTTTAAAGTCCAACCAGTTCAGCAGCAAATGGCTCCATTACCGCAGATCCGTCTTCAGATGACAACCAAGCCGCTCGCTAACTGTGCAGTTGATTTTGGAGGACTGTACCTAACCATTCAAGGCCGTGAAAGGTCTCGTGTGTTTGTTCTTGTGCTTGCAAACCCACTGTTGTCATTTGGAGATGGCAACTTCACTGGAGACAGATGCGTTTCTCAACACATTCGTGCGAATGACGGCAAGAAGGGGATGGCCTACGAAAATGCTGAGTGATAATGGGTCTAATTTTGTGGGCGCCAAGAAAGAAATCAGAGAATTAGTCGGTGAACTAGATCACGATCAGGTCCAACATATGACATCTAATCAAGGAGTTCACTGGTATTGGAATCCTCCATCTGCTCCTCATTTTGGAGGTGTGTTTGAAGCGATGATCAAGTCGTCAAAGCGAGCTATTTACGCCATTCTAAAAGATGCCGATATCACTGATGAAGAGCTGCAAACAATGTTCATTGGAGTCGAAAGTCTAATGAATTCAAGACTGCTGACTGCATTGAGTGACAACCCAAATGACGAGCCAGTACTTACACTGAATCATTTACTCATCGTTCCCGAAAGTGTAGATAACAGAGCATTCAATCCACGAAGACGTTGGAGGCGAGTGCAAGAGTTAACTCGGCATGTGTGGGGTCATTGGATGAAGGAGTACCTACCCCATATTGGCTCCCGACAGAAGTGGTTCTTTCCCACAGAGAATCTTAAAGTTGGAGATGTAGTAATGGTCATTGATCCGAGTGCAGCTAGAAGAGAGTGGAAAGTTGGACGCATTGAATGCACGTATCCAGGCAGTGATCAGCTTGTGAGAGTTGTTGATGTTCAAGTCAGAGACAAGTTTCTCAAGCGATCTGTAACAAGAATTTCCCCGCTGGAATTCGCAAAAACTGATTCAGACATATGAACTTTGAACAGTGACTTTGATTTTGATTTTGTAATGAATTTCAAGTTTCACTTATCAATTCGGGAGGGGAAAATGTTAAAGAGATATTTCGTTACATGTTGCGTTACTCACGCTTAGTTATACATTAAGTTGTCATTCGAGACCTTTTACACTTGTAATAGCAGTCTAGTGTCAGATCGAAAAGAAAAATCGTATCGTGTAGTGACTGTAATCGTTCGGATCGTCATCGTAGAAGATTAAAGTTTGGAACAGTCAACTATTCTGTTGTTCTGTCTATACCGTATTCGAACGTTGTAAAATCGATTACAACAATACATGAGGAACTCTCTAGGGCTATTAACAATGTACAATAGAAGATGTAAACAACCAAAAGTGCCCTAAGCAGCTAGAGGGTTACCTAACCAGTAGGGTTAAGCTCCAAAACAGAAATCTACAGAACCAAGGCACTCTCAGAATACCACGATCTAAGACTTCTTTGGGAAGAAAGATTTTCCAAATTGCTGGTGCAAGTGACTGGAACTCACTCCCTAGCAAACTCATGAAAACAACTAGTGTAGGCTCTTTTAAATTTAATCTCTTTAAACAACTGAGAGACAGTGACATTACTAATCATAAATATACAGTGTGACTACTTCGATTTTCAAATGTTTTTAATAGTTTTTAGTGGTTCTCAATATTTTAAATTAGTTTTTAAGTAGTTCTTAAATTAACTGTGTTTAGTAGTCCTGTCTTAGCACTTTTTTGCATCTTTGAAATGAGTAATTTTGAATGATTTTATTATAGATTTTATTTACTGGACATCTTGTTAAGACTGGGATTGTATATTACTGATAGATATCCCCAGTATAACCAAAGCTATTATTACTATTATTATTATATACCATCTGGGAAGTTAAGATTTACCAACAGTACTCAACAATAAGTTCTTCCAATAGCAAATGCTATTTAAGATCATGCCAATGCTCTTTACAATAAAGCTCTGGAGGGATCCCTGTTTAATTCTACCTTAAGTCCAACTCTTATGGAAAACGACCAAAGGAATAACCCAGGTTTAAGACCATCAAAGTTGGCCCATTGGGTGTTAACCTGCCCTGAAATTCTGCACTTTTTGCATCCTTCCTTTATTTATGGAAGTTTCAGATTGAAATACTTCAGTGAAACAAAATCTGTAGTATAGGGGTACGAAAGAAAGTATCTTAAAATCCTTCAGTCATACATTGACTCTTTCAACACAAATTCTGCAATTAGATATATTGCATGTAGCCTTTACCTCACTTCCTAAGTTTTTCCTTCTGTTGAAAGGGAGAAATGTTGACAGAAATGTCCTTTCAAACAAACTCCTTAATGACACCTATCAATATATATTTCTTCACTTTAAACAAGATTTTTCAGTCAGTTGCAAAGCCAAGAGCAAAATAAAGGAAAGACCAATCCTGGAAACCTGTCAGAATAAACTGTGCACAGTCTAACAAACAGTGGCACAGAACACAATCAAATGCTAGACTGCTTCAGGAGCCATTTAAGTGCCTAGATTTAGGCAGAGAGTATCATATCTAAGAAGAGATAACTGAAGATGAACCAACCACATAATATACTTCATAGGTTGAGCAATTGAAAGGAATAGGTATGATAAGCAGAAGAATGCTAGGCAAAGATTTTTATCCATTTTTATTCATGATTTGAGGGACACATCAAACGAAGACTCCCTAAAAATAGCCAAATGGCAGACTTTGGCATACATCTTCAAGGAAAAACTCTTTAAGTTAATACATAGTACTTATAATGGCTTATTACCAAAACAACTATGTACTAGCATCATTAACAAGAGAGTGTCCTGATATGCATCTAGGGGGACAGATAATACTATCGTACCTAGATTTACATCTTGTCATTTACAGCAATCTATTAGTTTCAGAGGAGCAGTCCTCTGAATGCAATCACATCAAAAAACTCCAATATTGTTCCGAGCCACGTAGAACTATAAGCTCTAGATCAAGTAAAATTAAAGATTTCACAGAGTTTACTTTTAGAGTAGAATCAGCTTGGACAGTTGATTTAAGCAATCAGGATTTTGAACATTTTTAGGATTTTAAGATATTACAACAGTATTTACACGAGATTTTAGTATTTAAGAGCCTTAAGCTATTTATTAAGTTTCTTATTAATTTGATTATATAACTAAACACATGACCCCATAAGCGTTTAGCTTTCATCATTCGACGTGTATAAATAAAGTTGATGTATGTATGTATGTACGACGTATCCAATCTTCTCCAGGCTACAAAATTTACTAATACTCTTAGACCACCTTTTCCACCATTCAAAAGCTTAGAGTTGAGTCAGACATGAGCTTAATTTACCACTGGAACCCATTTTCAGAATGAAAGTATCTTCTCAACAGATGGAGAAATGGACAGGGAAAAATTGCTTCAAAATCAAAAGGAATCAGGAAACATTTAACAAAAGAATTGTCAATAAGTGTCAGGGTTGATACTTGGAAAAGATAATTGCATGAACAGAGGCATTTGCATCAATGTGTTCACAATTGTTACTCTTTACAAAACAGTGGATTCAAACTTTGAAGAATTTGGAGACAAGAATGTGCACACTTCCTACCAGATAAC